GGCCACAAGAATGGCGGAGACCCTGACCTCGTGGTCTGAGAAAGAGAGGGCAGGGACCTGAACCAGCAGGAACAGGCGGACGGAACGGATTCAAAAAGCGCTTAGCAGGGCTGAGCACTTCCACTGACGGGATGTGCACGGAGAGGGTTTGCTAAGAGTGCCCAGCTTTCCTCTCCTGGAGTATTTGTTTTGTAGCAATAATATCGTTAGTTTATTTAACCAAAAATGGAAAATATTTAGAAAACAGGGAGGTGACTAAAGGCTTAAAAGACAGACGCATGTATGACTTTAACTGCTAATGACATTAAATATATGTTTTCTGAACTACGTTCAACTGCCCTAAGTAGTTTTTCAAATTGATGAACTTTTAATGTAAATTACTTAGCCATTATATTTATAAAGATTATAGAAATAGTTGACAATCATATGGTTTGTTTAGATTTAGATTTGGGTGAATTCTGAAAAAAAATGCTTGTGCTTTTGAATATTATTATATGCTTTCTCTATTTAAAAATTGTCCCTGGTGCTTCAGAAATATTTCTTTTATCAGCAGTCAGTAAACAGACATCTTATTTTCCCATTTTATAACTACCTGATTTGTCCAATCAAATCCTATCAAGAAAAAATTTGAAATGGTTCGGGAAATGAGCAAAATGTTGGATTTTAACAGATGAAGCATCTCTTCAATTGTAGTAATCATGTAAAATTCAGTCTTTTTTTTTTTATGGATTCATTCCCAATTTTCCTTATAAAGCTCTCTTGACCTATTTCTAGCCAGCATTTCCTTTGTGTCCTCTCCAGCAGTGGCTGCCTGCCAACTGCTAAAATTGTTCTCCAAACGGCACATGCGTGAAGCCATCCATAAACCTCCTGTGTGAGGAAGACGGTAGCATGCTCCCCTTTTCATATAAAGCAAAGAAAAACACCGAACATTATTTTTCACAAGCTCACAGATCTGTGATTTTGTGGACATGGTTTCTATGATTCGTATTTTCAAGTTATTTTGGCATTGGCTTTGCACAAAAATAAAACAGTGATCATCTGGTGAACTGGTCACTGACAATATCACTCCAAGCCCAGATATTTAGAAATGGGATAAAAAAGAACTTTTTCTTAATTTAAAAAAATCTTTAATGACTGTAAACAAGAAATATTAAAAATAAAATATGACAAAAGAAGAAAGATTCCTTTTATTTTTTATAAATAGGCTCATTTCTCAAATACTTCTGACCAGAGGATGGGAGTTTAATCCAATTAGGGTCTAAAGATTCCATCTGAGACATCCCTCCGCAGCTAAACAGAGGGGAGTGAATTTTTAACCAAGTAACACAATTGGCTACAATTGACTGAGCAGAAGCAGTAAACTGTAAAATCTCACCCTCTTTGCTGAATGTCTACATCTCTATTCTGTAATTCACGCTTATATATTTATCATATTCATTCAAAAGCTTTTTCCAGCATGTGATGCCTGCTTCCAGCCAAACCATAAAATTGCCCCTTGCTTGAAAATACAAGATCATGATTAGCTCTTAGGAGAGAATTCAGGGCACAGTTAGCCCTGAGGCATGCTGACTGTGCGAGATTTTTAGAATCTTAAGCGAAGTGTTTCCCCTATACTTCAATTCCGGGGAGCAGCACCGAATAAGGAAATTGTATAGAACCTGGGTTCCAATGTTAACTCTTGGCATTTGCAGGGAAACCTTAGACATACTCCTTACCCTCTCTGGGTCCTGAATCCTGAGTTATAATTACAGATGATAATGTCTCCTTTGTTGATTTACCTGGGAATTAAATATGCTAGTGGATGTGAAAGATTCAGCATGTAGTTGGTGATAAATGAATAAAAATGAGTATTAACACTCCACCAAAACTGAATCAAGAAGAAACAGACAATTTGAACAGACCAATCATTAGAGGTGAAATATAAATGGTAATAAAAAACCTCCCTGCAAACAAAAGTCCAGGACTGGATGGCTTCCCTGGGGAATTCTACCAAACATACAAAGAAGAGCTTATCTCAGTTCTCAAACTTTCCCAAAAGAGTGAAGAGGAGAGAACACTCCTAAACTTATTTTGTGAAGCCAACATCACTCTGATACCAACACCAGAAAAAGACACTACCCAAAAGGGAAATTACAGGCCAGTATCTCTGATGACTACAGATGCAAAAAAAAAAAAAGAAGTATTCTAATTGTTGGAATATTTTTTCTTACAGTGAACTCCAAATCTGTCTGTCTTTGGAGCCAGAAAATTCTTATACATGAAAACCATTCTCCTATTTGAATAGTATTATGTGTACCTTGCGGTCGCGTTTCCCCAGGATAAACATCTCTATTTGCACCAAAAACAACCCCATAAGGGGATGTGGGCAGGCAGGCTAGGGGTTTGCAGGAGTGGGGTTAGATCCTGGTCCTGTGTGTGGCCTTGGGAAGTTGTGACCTTTCTGAGTCTCTTTTTCATCTGTAAAATAGGAATAAAAATGCCTCGTAGGGTGTTAGTGAAGATTAAGTTAGAAGTGTTCGGTGCCCAGTAAGTGTTTCATTAATGGCAGGTATCATTATTGCATTTGGTTTTGAACTTGTCACCATTCCAATTACTGCTTAGAGTGAACACTGGTCTTTGCGGTATGATTTCAGAGGCAGTTGGGCGACTAACTTCCCCAGACTGTGAACCCAGTCCTCACACAGCAGTGGCGATACAAATACAAATATCCTTAAGACAGAGGGAAGGGCTTCACTGCCCCCTGTGGGGAGGAGCCGGCAGGGACCAGAGGACAGCGCCGCGGCATGGAGGGGTATATGATGGTAACAGTTACCCCATGTGCCAGCGTGTCTGGTCTTCTCCAAACAAATCCTGAAGACTTGGAAAGAAAAGTAAATTCTATTTCTGTACACACACAGGCACATGGAAATGCACAAGAAGGGACTCCCAGGGCCACTTTGCAGTAGGACTCTCCGTGTGCGGGAGAGTGGAGGGGCTGGGGTGTGCCCAGTGGGGAAGTGGACCCACAAAATGTGATGGATGGAGCTGATGTGAGCTGACCCTGCAGTGTGCTTGGAAATAAAGATCACGAGGGAAGAAAATTTAAAAACCCAGATCTCATTCCAGACATAAAACCAACCAGGAGGGCAGTCTCTTTCCTGACGGGGACACGAGGCTGTGATGCGCATCCAGGAAAGCCTGTTAGAGGAAGCCAATCTCGTGACATTCAGCAGCAGCTCAGATCTTAGGCAGCTTCCTTCATTTCAGCGCTTTCCCTTTCATATTGAAGGTCTGTGTGTGCATCATTCCATTCATTGAGTGCCTGATGGGCAGTGGCTGTTACTAATACCATTATCAATCTTGGACTTCTGAGCACGTGACACACTGCCTGCATTTAGGATGTGCATAGGGAAGTCCTGAACTCAGCAGATCTGGGGACGCAGTGAGAAAAGGGCAGAGCCCCGCAGAAGAAGGAGCTGAAGTTGAGGTCCAGAGGTTAGAGGGTACCCAAGACACCACTGGTTTGCTTTACATTTTTTCTGGCATTGACCTTGACTGTTCAGATGCCATAGCAAGGTGGTGGGGGGATGAGGGTGAGAAGAAGAGTGCAGAGATCACTTTCTCGTGATTGCTGCCTGGTTGCCGTTCCCATGAGCTGATGCCCCTAAGACAGAGGCAGAAACTGGGCTCCTTTATCAGGATGCCAGTGCCCAGAGCCCAGTGCATCATGGCTGGTACCCATTTTTAACATATGAATAAGTGCGGCTCTCCCAGGTCTGAGACAGCCCTGCTTCACCTCCCAACAACCTCCCAACAACCCCGAGGACAGGTGGTACAGGTGAGGAAGTGAGCTCGGAGCGGTTACAGCCCTCCCAGCTGGAAGGGGTGAGAGCTGGTGGAGGGAGAGGGAGGGTCTTACCATCAATTCACCACCCCATAAAGGGCGGACAATGCAGACAGGTGGAAAGTGAAGAACAACAACTTGTGTAAATAGGACAAAACAGAAGGAAAACTATTATTTTCCCAAAAGAAAAGCAAAGAAAAATGTCAATAGCTGAAAGAAACAGACAAAGGGAAGATGTGTATTATAGTGTATCACGGTATTTGTTGCTCATACTGTTTCCTTTTTTAGGTTCAATTTAATCAGTTCTATGATGGAATGTTTTATAGGTTTCTGTTTCCTACTATTGTGTCCAGGGCTGAGACTCCATTAAAGCACTGTTAGCATGCAGTACATTTATTTTAACGTACATACTATTATAGTTAGCTCACCCTATCTCAGTATTTTGTATAGAATGCTCCAAGAGAGTATATTTAATCAAAGGGCATCATAAATGCTAGAGGAATTCAGAAACCACTTGTGGTTTTATTGTTCCCTGAAATGGCTAATACAGCTCAAGATAGGTCACTTGTAGGACATCCGAGGGCTTGGGTCACTTTTCTCCTCTCTAATGCAAAATGCCTTTGCTCACTACGGCGCTGCATGTAAGCATGATGACATCTGGGCCCTTGCTGCTGAGTTTTGCTTTGGCAGAGCTGTGTTCGAATAAGCCAGGATGTCTGGCAACCAAACCACTGCCTCCCATGAACATTAACAATAAATTCACAAGCATCCTGTAAAGGCTGCCCAACCCTCTTTTCTCAAGACTGTTAGGACTTCGGGGAATTCATATGGCCTCTTTGGAAGGAGGAAAGGCAGGAATGTTAACTCAGAAACATGACATCATTTCCCAAAGCATGTTCAACGTAACTAAAAGTAAAAGGCCACTGTGTCTACATGAGCACAAAGAGAAGTTTTGTCACCTGTCTGGCTTATTGGTTATCGAACAGGGCCTGTTGGATAACCTCTGCCTGGGCCCCCAGCATTTCTGGTTAAAGATCAGATCCTCCCTTGCAAGGACCACTCTGCATTAGGCCTTAGTGATGGAGCTTTGGACCCAGAGCTTAGGGAGGAGGCAGAGAGGGGAAAGCCACGCACGAGGTGGATACCAGGCTCACAGCCGCAGTGCCCTGTGAAGCATCAGGCCTCCCGACGAAGGACACTTGGGGTGACTGTGAAGGAGGAGCGGACAGGAAGGAGAAGGAAGGAAGGAGACCACAGGCCAAGGCCGAGGGAGAGAGCTGGAGAGGTACTTTGATGAGGTTAGAGCAGAGCCCACGAGGGTAGGTGGGAGGCAGTGAGGGATGAGGGTGCAAAGTCAAACTGGAAAGTTCTCCTAAGAAGTGTGTAGTTCATCTTTTCCTGTGTGTACTTGAGAGCGAAGATGCCAGTTCTCACCATTCTGGGAAAAGACCGAGAGCATCTTAAGAAGATAGTTAGACCAACCACTGGACTCACTGGAAAAACCCAGGCAGCCCATTAAAATGTGTTTGTGCCCAGAGGGATTCTACACAGGGTGCTACAGGGAATCCTTTGCCTTCACGTCTACTACAGTATTACTATTATTTTTGTTATTATTATTATTATATGTAATTCACATATCATAAAATTCACCATTTTAAAGGGTCCAATCCAGCATTTTTAGGATCTCCACCAGGATATCACAATCTGGAACATTTTCTTCATCTTCGAAAGAAATCTATTAGCGGTCACTCCCCTTCCTGGTTCCCCTCCCCACGCACCTGGGCAGCCACTTACCTCCTTTCTGTCCTGAATGTGCACACTCTGCAGGCTTCATAAAGCAGAAGCACGTTTGTGTGCTCTTTAGTGCCCGGCTTATTTGGCGTAGCTTCAGGATTCATCCATGTTGTAGCAGGAATCAGTGCCCCATGAAACTCTAGGCTGGGTTTGGTGGGGAGGGGGTGGGGGATGGCAAGTGACGGTGCAGGGTCACATGTGACACGGTCTGAGGTTGTGCTGTAGAATGAAGGTTTCCTCATTCAATTGTGCAGAATTTCTTGGGGGCACAGACAGCCGAAATCCTGCCTTCCATGTGCCCAGGCAGACACCTTCAAGGCTGGGCTCACACCTCCGCACACACCCGCCGTCCTCTGGGAACCTCCACCAGAATGAAATGCTCCCCCTTAAAGTACCTTAAAGCAATGGTCCTTGCACAGGGAATTAAAAGCCCAAACCAAAGCGAAACACAAAGTTTCATCAGCGTGAAGAAATGCTGACTTTAGGAGAGACACTCCTTTCAGAGATTTGTTGTGGGCAGAAAAGGCAGGATTCTGCTATGAGTACCACCATCTTCCTATTAAATACTTTAAGTAGAATTCTGGTGAAAAGGTGAAGTGAGTTAAGGAGAATCAATTAGAATAGCTATTTTCTTTTTGATGGAGAAGGAATCATGTGGGTAAGGGGTGGGTTTCGCCTCTTAGGAGCTGGGTGTCGCTTTAACTGCTGCAACCCTGGTGAACTGTAGTGCTGGGATGGAAGGAGTGAGTGAGTGTATTATACACCTGTCTCACACATTTTTGATTTACATGCTGTTTATATTCTCTCCTCTTGGGCCCTATGACACTTGTTCTGCTGGCTATGCATACCTAAGGTGAAAAATGCTAATGTAAAGTGCCTCCTACCTCAGTTTGGACGGTGGCATCACATTGCAAAATGTTCCAGGGACAGACCCTCCCTCCAGCGCAGTTACAAAGGGCCTCACAGCAGGCCCGGGGGCCGAGACCCCTTTAGCGGGGGAAGGTGGGAGGGGCGGCTTGGTAGAGAGTTCTTTGGAGAGGGATGCTGCCAAGGGTGGGAGGGTTCGCCTCCTCACACCCGCCCGGTGAACAAGGCCTGCCCTAAGCCGGAGAGGCTAGGGCTGAGGGGTTCTCTTCAGTAGGGTCTGCCTGAAGGGAGGCGCCTATGCATCAAGGGGCGGGGTGGTGACTCGGGATCAGTAAAGTGTAGACAGAAGGGTGACTCTCGGAGTGTTTGCCTGTTTCAGTGACTGTGGCGGTGGCAAAAATATTAGGAAAAAAATTACAGAAAGTTCCCCAAAGCAATACTTGAATTTGCCAGGGCTGGCAACTATTCACTGCATTTACACTGCAGTGGGTATTATAAGTGATCTAGAGATGACTTAAAGTACAGGGAAGGTGCGTGAAGGTTATGGCAAATACTCTGCCCCTTTATATAAGGAGTTGAGGGTCCAGGGATGCTAGTGTCCACCCAGGCTACCAGCAAAAACATTGCCCAAGTATGTTACATACGTTTTAAAGCGTCACAGGATATGTTCGTGTGCGTTCTCACCCACCACTTTCCTGCTGGCACTCCTTACTCCAGAAAACTGAATCACGGATCCTACTTTTGTGCCTTAAAAACAAGCAGGAAACGAAGACACCTGCGTCCTGCAGCTGCCACGTTCTCCTCTGGTGACTAAGAGGTCCCCGGAAATCTTTGGAGATGCTTCCAGAGACTCAGCCACTAGGGCTGAAGGAGTGGTAGGCCCCACGGCCGTCCAGTTCTGCCTTTCAGGGCACTTCTGAACGCCGCCAGGGGAAACACGGTGCTCTCGAAACGTGCTCGAAGCGTGCGTTGAGCGGCGTTAAGCGTTTGAGCCTGTG